CTAAGGGCCAGGGAAGTGCTAAGGGTTAGGGAGGTGCTAAGGGTCAGGGAGGTGCTAAGGACAGAGATGCTAAGGGGTCAGGGATGTGCTAAGGGCCAGTGAGGTGCTAAGGGCTGGGGAAGTGCTAAGGGCTGGGGAAGTGCTAAGGGTCAGGGAGGTGCTAAGGACAGAGATCTAAGGGGTCATGGATGTGCTAAGGGCCAGTGAGGTGCTAAGGGCTGGGGAAGTGCTAAGGGTCAGGGAGGTCCTAAGGGTCAGGGAGGTGCTAAGGGTCAGGGAAGTGCTAAGGGTCAGGGAAGTGCTAAGGACAGAGATGCTAAGGGGTCAGGGAAGTGCTAAGGGCCAGTGAGGTGCTAAGGGTCAGGGAGGTGCTAAGGGTCAGGGAGGTGTCAAGGGGTGGGCAGATAAGACAAGGGGTCGGAACAGGCCCGGCGTCAGCCAGTCACTCCTTGAGCTGCACAGACACAGAGGAGTCGGTCACCCTGGTCCGCCGCAGCCCGCCAGGCTCCATCCGGTTCTTGGTCTTGTGCAAGAAGTGGACGAAGCGCACGCCGGGGCCGTACTGGCGGAATACGTGGGACACCTGGGGCAGCAGTGGGTTAGGAAGAAGTGATTATTAGGGACCCATGAACCCGGCTCTCCTCCCTTCTCCCTGTGAGGTCTCAAGACATGAACACCCATCTGGGGCCGGGGGACGGAGCAGCAAGTCTCACCTGGACCCAGCGGCCAGGGGGGCCCCTCCCAGAGGTCCGGGGGGCCACGTGGTGCTGCGCGATGACCGTGCGGCGGTCAGCTGCCAGCAGCCAGACGTGCAGCTCATAGACACACACGTCCAGCCGGCTGTCCTCGTACCTGGGGTGGGAGGGGTCCAGGCCTTCAGCTGCCACTGCAGCCCCAACATCCCGGCTCCCATCGCCATTCAACACACACTGGCACCCATTCTGTGTGCCTGGGCTGGGTGGTGCTGGCAGCACAGTAGTGACTGAGACAGCCCTGTGCCCTTCCCTCATGGGACTCATAGTCCGGGGGGGGGGGGCAGACCCGTCAGCAGGCGGTGACGACCGGGAATGGTCAGGGCGGGGATGGGGGAAGTCCAGGGCACTGGAGCATCATGCATCTGACCTAGCTGGGGGGCAGTCAGGGAAAGCCTCCTGGTGGAGCCATGTGTAACTGACCCCTGAAGGATGCGGAAGGACGCGTCTGGAGAACAGAGGGCGGCAGGCAGCCAAGGAGGAAGGAACAGCCTTGGGCCTGGCAGATTTCAAAAACTAAGAGACTCAGAGAGAAGGGGGCGGAGAGCGGGCAGGGCAGAGGCACGTACCAGTCCATGACGGTGATGTCTGGCTGCTCGTCATCAAGCAGCTCCTCCCACAGGCCCTGGGCCAGGAGATCCACACACTGCTGCTTCACCGTCCAGCTGGGAGAGAGGGAAGGTGGGCTCTGGGACCTGGGGGACTCTTGGGCGTCTCCCAGGTCGGCCTGACCCCAGGGAGCAGGAAACCCCATCACAGCACTCACTCAGCCCCTTACAGTCTCAGCGCCCATGGGCTCCTCTGAGGGAGATGCTTTCTGAACCTCGTGTTGCAGATGAGGAAACTAAGGCTCAAGCAGGGAAGGGACTTGCCCAAGGTCGAGCAGCAGAGACGTGGCAAAGCTGGGATTCCAATCTGAGTCCCTGAGTTATGCCATCTCGCCCGCCGTGCAGAAGCAGGGCCAGGTTTAATGGAGGATAGATGGCGGCCTGGGTGACCTGCCCCTCCCAGGGAAAGAGGTTGAGAATAGGAACAATATTGGCTCCTATTTATTGAACACCTACTATGTGCAAGCCAGACCTAGCCAGACCCTATGCCTTGTGTTGTACGAGCATTCTCTCCTATGACTAACCCTGTTGACAGAGCAGGAGACCGAGGCCCAGAGAGGCCAAGACAGTTTCTCCAGGTCACACAGCGGGGAATCAAATGCCGGCCACACGGGTCCCGGGCACTCACCTAAGGTTCTGCTGGAGCCGCTCAGTCCTGATGGACCACCCGCGGAAGTTGCCTAGCCGGTGGAGGAGCAAAGAGTTAGAGCCTGCCCCTTCTCCAGGCCCACCCCCTTCCTCCGGGACAACCACCAAGAGCTTACCCAGAGTCTCCAGGGGCTGCTGGGTGGGACCAGTAGAGGGTGCTGGTTCATAAATGTTGATGCCTGGAATTGAGCAGGTAAAGGGAGCCTCAGGCTGGCGGAAGCTGCCCCCTTCCGCATACTCCCCCTCCCTACCCGCCCGGGCTCCAGCGGAAGGGCCAGGCCGGACCAGCCTAGCAGGGACGAGTCAGTCGGGGTCGGGGAGAGCCCTGAGAATGTCCTGGGGGAGGGGGACAACGGCAGAGGGGGAGGGCGTTGTGGTGACACCGAGACAGAGGGACAAAGAGAGGCACCAAGAGAAAAAGACACAGATTATAGGCAGAGGGAGAGAGAGAGACTGAGACACAGGGTGACAAAGAGACACAGGGAGAGAGAGGCACACATGACATAGAAAGAGACAGAGAGAGAGATGGAGATGCAGGTGGGACAAAGAGATGCAAGGAGACACACAGAAGCACAAAACAGAGGAAGAGACAGAGAAGGATGGAGAGAAAGAGGGACAAAGAGACAGAGATATAGAAACAAGGTAGGGAGACAAGGAAACAGACGGAAAGAAGAAGAGACAGACGGTCTGAGTGATGGACTCTGGGAAGAAGACGGAGACCGGGCGGCCTCCAGGCACCTTCGGGGTTGGGCGAGCGCAGCAGGTTGCGGTAGAGCGGCCGCCGCAGGAAGAGCAGCTTCCAGGTGAGGCGCGGGGGCAGCTCCAGTCTCCCGCCCAGCGACCCCCACTCCTGCAGCAGCAGCTGCCGGGCGAACGCCTCGGTCGGCGGCTCGGCCGGGGGAAGCCCGGGGGCCGCGGGCGACGGCGGCGACGGCGGTGGGGGCGGCGACGGGGGCTCCTGGGGGCTCGCGGGCTCCTCGGCCTCCATCCCGCCCCCGAGCGCGTGTGCGTCCCGCACCTCCTCCATCCCCCGGGTCTGGGCGACTGTCCCGGCTCCTCCGCGGGGCCCGGGGTTACCTGGGGGCGGACGGGGCGGGGCGCTCCAGCCGGCAGTCAAGAGAGGGGTGTGTTGGGGGGAGGATCTGGGCTCCCAGGCCCTCCTCCCTCAGACCCGGGAGTCCGGGCCCGTCCCTCTCTCAGAAAGCAGGAGTCCAGGTCCCAAACCCTCCTCAGTTTCCCAAACCTCCTGCCCCAGTTTCCCCAGGGCCAGGCCGAGGACCCAGGGACCTCGGGAGGGGGTGTGACAGATGAGCTAATGCCAGGGCTCCGTGCTCTCTAATGAGGCCCATCCACCTCGTTAAGACCAACATGGCAGGATTAAGAGGTTGATTAGTGAAGACCCCCTCTGCAGCAGGGGCGGTGGGGGTAGGAGGGGGTCCCCCCTCTGCTGCTTCCTCCTTTGCCCCCACCTGGGACACACCCTCGGGACCCTGACATTCCCTGTTCTGGAAACCAAGGTGGGCGGTGGAGGGCAGAGAGAGACCGGGAGCCGGAGATGGGGAGTCCCAGAGATGGGGGACCCCAGGGAGACACTGAGGTAGCAGCAGAGGGGGACACAAGAAGCCCACCTGGGTTTTCAGGGTGCCTGCACCCTTTCCTGGGGCTGGGGCAGGGACACAGGCTGCCGAGGCCGCCTCCCTCTGAGGTCACGGGGAGGTTGGAGTGAGGGACAGGGGCAGGAGGTCAGGGCGCGGAGGAAGTGTGGTGGCGGAGGAACCTGTAGGGCCACATCTCACAGCCGCCCAGGCAAGCATGGGCACAGAGTTCCACACGGATCACCAGGACCCACCGCCACGGTGAGGGCTTCTGCCTGCTGGGTGCTGTTCTGAGTGCTTCCGTGTTCATTTCATCCTCTAATGACGGTAAGGAGGCAGGTGTTACTGTTATTGGACTTTTCTAGGTAAAGGAAAGATAACAGCAAACGCATGTGGAGGCCTGGTCCCACCCCGCCCCAGATCACCCCGCATGCTTCCACGGGCGCTCCCTGGCCCGGATTCCTGCACGATGCTGACAGACACGTGCTCCCGACCATCCGAGCTGAGCTCACGCCCGAATGGTGATGCTCGTGTAGTTGAGGGCTGCTCATGTGCCTGGCATTGTTCTCAGTTCGTTAGTGGAGTAATTAATTCAATCGCCACGTCCGCCCTAGGAAATACATGCTATTGTTAAACCCATTTTGCAGATGAGGCACAGAGAGGTCTAGTAACTCCTCAAAGGTTGCACAGCTGGTATGTGGTGAGTTGGACATGCAGAGTCTCAGATGAGATACACAGAGACACAGACTCAGATCCCCCCAGGGAGAAACAGCAGCTCACATAGGAGCAGACAGGAGGTAATCATTACATTTATTGAGTGTCTTTAACGCATTGAACCCCACAGCAACCCCGGGAGGTGGGAACGGGTAATAGTACCTCCACTCACAGATCAGGGAGCTGAGGCAAGAGAGGGGGAGTGAGCTGATCTGGGAAAGCTGGGAATCAGCCAGGGGCCTGGGGCGCAGGGAGGGCCCATGTGAGGGGCAAACCAACTAATGCCCTGGGGAGCCACAGCCCCAAAGTGGAGACACTCCCCCGGCCGCCACAAGTGCAAACACCCACACCCATGTCTGGCCGCCTGCCCACCCGCCTCATTGGAGGAGGAGGTAAGAGTCAGTGGAGTCAGAGCTGTCCCCAGGTCAGCATCCAGGGCAGGGAGTGGCCCGGAGTCAGAGACCCAAAAGGAAGGGCAGGGAAGAGTCTATAGAGTGGAGATCAACACCCCTCCTCTGCCGCCCCCTGGCCTGCTGTGGTTTCCACTTCACACACACACACACACACACACACACACACACACACACACACACACACACACACACACACACACACACGGCAGCAGCCAGAGGGGTCTTATGAAAGGCCAAACCCAAGCAGTCACTCCCCCACTTAAACCTGCCTTGGCTCCCCGGTGCCCTCAGGAGAGAAATCCCAGCTCTTTGGCCGGCACCCGAGGCCCTGGATTTCTGGTCCAGCCTCTGTGACCTGGGATCTCCCATCTCAGGGATTGTGCTCATGGAGTTCTTTCCCCGTGGAACGCCCTTCCTTCTCACCCACACCCCATACTCAGTGGCTCCCAAACTTTAGGGCACATCAGAGTCAACCAGGGAGTGTATTAAAAATGCCTATTTTCTGGAGTCTGATTCAGTCCTGCTGGGCCCCGGAATCTAAAATTTAAGAAGCGCCCCACCCCCACATTCCATACTGTGAGCAATGTTTTCCTAAATCTGAGGGGTCGGCGGCCACAAGGGAGGCCCTGCAAAGCCAGTGGCTTTCAACAAACGTTAGGTCTCAAACGTCCCCTCTCTCTGCCTTCCGAGCGGCAAAGTCCCCAGTGTGGGGACTCAACCTCCCAGAGGCTGTTTTCCAAACAGGCCAAGGCCTGGGTGACCGACACGGCCCCCTCCCCAAAAGCCATCTCCCATGTGTCCTGAAATGTTAAAAAGCATGAGCGATGGTGGGACCACTTTGGAAAACAATTAGACAATCTGTTATAAAACCGAATATGCTCTGACTCTACTGCCCAGCGAGCCCACGCCTGGGATTCAGCCATAGACAGGTGAGTGGATAACGCAGCCACCATGGAACACTCTTGATAAGAAAAAGGAATGAACTTTTGAAATATGCGACCACGTGGATGAAACTAAAAATCGCCACGCAGAGGGACGAAAAGCAGGCAAAAAGGAGCACAGACTGTGTGATTCCATTTGTATAAAATTCTGGAAAAGGCAACAGTAATCTAGAATCCAAGAGAGCAGGTGGGTGGCGGCCTGGGCTGGGGGATTGACTGCAAAGAGGCCTGGGAGCAGGCTTCCCAGGGTGAGGCGAAAGCCCCTGTGGGGCTTCCGGCCTTGTGGGGCGGGGGGATGGGCTTCAACAAGTCAACGAGTAACTAGTTAATTGACAAACAGCACTAAGTGCTTTGAAGGTGAAGAACAGGCCACAGGAGCAGGTGGGAAGCCTGTTTTAACTGCGGTGGTCAGGGAGGGCTTCTCGGAGGAGGTGACATTAGAGCAGAGACCTGAAGAAGGGGAAGGAGCGGGCTGTGCAAACAGCTGGGGGAGGAGCGTGTCCAGGCAGAGGGAACAGCAGGTGCAAAGGCCCTGAGGTGGGACTAAGCTTGGTGTGTTCAGAGAACAGCAGGGGGCCATTGTGGCTGGAAAGGAGGGAATAAAGGGGAGATGAGGTCAGAAGGACTGGGGCAGCTCTGTAGGATTAATCTACGTAATAAGTTCTAAGTGGAACTATGGGGAAGGTTTCAGCTGGGAAGCGACTAGATATAACTGACCTCCGGCTGAGTGGGGGAGGGCAGGGAAACAGCGAGGAGGGAGGTGAGGATGGACAGAACCGGGCTGGGACCATGGAGTGGCTGGCAGACGACAGACTCAGGACCTCTTCTGGAGACAGAGAGAAAGGGTGATTGGCCTCGAGCAATGGTTTGAGCAGCAGGCACAAAGTGGCACCATTTGCCAAGAGGCGAAGATGGTGGCCAGAACAGATTGGGGGGGAGGCACAGGAGATCAAGCATTCCATCGCAGACGTGCTGAGTGCTGGTCCTCCAGAGGGGCTGTGCCAGGGGGCGGCTGGATGTACGGGGCCGGAGTCCAGAGGGGTCAGGGCTGAGACGCAAATCTGAGAGGCATCCCCCCATCGACGGCTGAGAACTGAATGATATAATAACAACAACAATACTAGCAATTATGGAGCACCTACTGTGTGCCAGGCCCTGTTCCATGTGCTCTGTGCGTATTAACCAAACACACCTTCTAAGGTAGGTGTTATCATTAAACCTACTTTACAGAGGTGGAGACTGAGGCACAGAGATGGGAATTCACTTGCCCAAGGTCACACAGCCAGGAAGTGGCAGGGCTGGGATTTGACCCCCGGTGGGGTCTGCATCCGCAGGGAGGGTGGCCCAGGGTAGGGGCCATGCTATATCTGACTCGCAGGGGGATCCCTCTCACAGCCGTCCGACCATGGCTCTCCTCTCCTTAACACGCTTCCCGGCTCCCCAGAGGCCTCAGACCAGCTTCCAGTTTGCAGCCCAATTTTTAAGTGGTTGAATTGGCCCGATCCACCTCGACAGCGCCCCTGCCCCTCTCTTTATGTCCCAGCGGCTCCAAATTCCATTCCACAGAAGAGTCAGAGCTCTCAGGAAGAGGGTGGGATGAGGCTCATGCCAGGCGTGAGACGGGAAGCGGGTGGGCTCGGTCTTCTGTTGCAGGGGCAGTGGTGTGGGGCCTGCTGGTCTGTCTGCGCCACTAGACAGTGTGTTCGTTTCCTGTGGCTGCTGCAACCAATTGGCACCAACTGGGTGACTTACAACAACAGAAAGGTGTTCTCTCACGGTTCTGGAGGCCGCAAGCCCGGAGTCAAGCTGTCGGCAGGGCCACACTCCCCCCAGAGACTCGGGGAGAGGATCCTTCCTTGCCTCTCCCAGCTTCTGGTGGCTGCTGGGGATCCTTGGCTTGTGGCCGCCTCCCTCCAATCTCTGCCTCCTTCGCTCTCAAATTTCGCGCTGCCTCACTCTTATGAGGACACTTGTCATTGAATTTAGGGCCCACCCTGAGAATCCAGGACGATCTCCTCATGTCAAGGTCCTCAACCTAATTATATCTACAAAGGCCCTTTTTCCAAGTAAAGAAGCATGCACAGGTACTGGGGATCAAGGTGTGGACATATCTTTTTGGGGAACATCATTCAGCCCACAACTGAGGATCCTCCCTCAGAGGATGGGAGCAAATCTTGGGGAGGCAGCAGGGCCTGGCTCAGAGGTTCTCAGATTTGACTGTGTGTCAGAACCCTCTGAGGGCTCGCTAAATGCACACTGCCCCCTCCCCACTCCGCCCCGCTCCAGTTTCTGATTCAGCAGTTCTGGAAGGGGGAGGCGCCCAGGAGGTGACGCTGACGCTGCGGGTCTGGGCTCCCACATTAGGAACCACTGTCGTGGTGGTTAAGAGCATAAGGCTGCCTGAGCCCAACAGGCCCTA